AAGAAAAAAATTCGTGCATGGGCGAAAACCGGTTACGACAGCTTGGCGACTCCACTGGGGACCCTGGTCAAACTTTTAAAATCAATTATAAATTGTCTCTATTAATTATAAATTTAAAATTCATATATTTAATTTATAATTATTTCTTTTCAAATTTTTTATACTTATTATTTTTATAATATTTATATTAATATTTCATTTTACTTACAAGTATTTTATTTCATTATTTATTTTTCTGTTAGAGGTTTGAATATTTCTCCTCACACACAACACTTGCATTACATAACATAAAGCTCTATAATTGAGTTGGTCCCTTTTAAGTGGGAGTGAAAGCGACGTCTTCGTGAGAATTTATTCTCCGTGTCAGACCTAGCAAGTAACTTTCGGGGTTCATATGCTCTATGTCTTCGTGAGAATTTATTCTCTGTGTCAGGCATAGAGAAGTGTATCCCCTCGAATTGAACTCGATCCACTTTAGTCTGTGATGGACTAGGATAGAGGGTTAGCAGCCCAAGGGGGTACTAACAAGGACAATTCGGGTACCTTTACTCCTAGAACTGAAACCCTGCATATAATAAACTCTAGCACTTCACCTGATCTAAAAAGTACTGAAATCCTGTCCATAGGTGTACACAAAGGAGAAATAAGCTCTAGCTTTTAATTTATTTAATTTATTATCTTTCTCTCTAAATAAATGCCTGCGAATTAGTAATCATGTTATTAGGTTAATTTTTCCAAACAAAGCATGGAACTAGAAAGCATGAGGTTAGGATATATTATATATACCATGATAGGTAGAATATTTTCTTTTCATTAATTGGTACTTACCAATTTATTTATTTCCTTTCTCATTTTTATTTTTCATATATTTTGTTTTGTTTTAACTTGTTTATATTGATTTCTTTTGTTTTGTGCCTGCATTACATGATCATGGCATAACCAAAAGGTGTTAACTGGAAAGACTGTTCATCAAATTGGAAAGAAATCATAAATGGACAAAAAGTTTTATGATCAAACAAAATATGATGTGGCCAAGGAAAGACATCCTGAGGAAACTCCGAGGATGGAAGCGAGCAATGCACACAGAGATCTTGTTATATTAATACCAAAAGTACTCCATAAAGATTTTGCCAGATTGATACCAAAAGCAGTCTATGGTAAGAGCATCAGTCAGGGCATTCAAAGTGGAGGAGGTTTTTATGAAGCTCAAGCATGTTATTTGAAGGACTTGAACGACCAAAACAAGAAATTGAGCACAGAAATGAAAACTATGCATGACGATTTTCAGAAAATCAGTAAAGCTTTTCAAAATACTGGCCTAGGAAGTACCCCAGAAGAGTGGATCACAGGGGTCACCAAGCTGAAAAAGAACTGCAACATATATGAAGATCTTGTTCAAGAACTTCTTGGACAGAAAGGATCTCTTACAAGGGAAAATGAGCAACTCCGAGAAATAACACAGAAGATGAAAGAGAATGTCATGGAAGAAGTTGCAGTCCAGACAAATAATATGGTTCTTAAATGATAAATTTAGCTGACTTTACAATGAGATGAAACAGACTGAAGACTCAACTTTTGAGCATAAATGGAAACTAACTGGGCTTTGGAGAAGTTAGAAGTGAAAGATATCCCTATATGTAAAGTTTTGTTTGATGTACCGAAACTTTTGTGTTCAATAAAATATGTTCTAAGATAATCACTCTTGAGTAAACACCTTTTCATACATGCATTTGCATTTTGCATCTTTGCATTTTTCATTGTGCATTTATACTTTTATATTTGTTTTTGTACTATACAATTTGCATTTTTATTGTTACATTCACATATTTACATTTGCATTTACATTTGCATTTTTTACGTTTGTATTTACATTTTCATTTTTACATAATTACATTTGGTTTTAAACTATTTTACATACATTTAAACATGAAAACATGAGAGTAATTCGTGGAGAATTCCATGACAGAATTTCTGAAATCAAAGTGGAGCTAACTTGGTCTTCCTAAATAAGGATAAGAACCACGAATGAGATTTTAGCAAGGGTTGGTAGAATTGAAAAAACTACAAGAGAAACTTATCAAGACTCAACAAGAGATGATTGATCAAGTAAAAAAATCCCATAATGATTCAAAAGAGCAAATGACAAAACTGATGGACCTGATAAATGTTGTACTCCATGGAGAGAAACCCTTAAAGGATCCCACTGTGAAGGCTGTGAATAAGGTTTTGAATGATAATGATGAGTTCAATGTGATAGTGTCTGCTGATCAAGAACCTATTAAAGATCATGGTAATTCAAGACAGATTCAAGATTTGGTCTCAAGGGGCAATCTAAGGAGTCTGGTGAACACTACCCCAATTATAGGTGAAATGAGCACCCAGAACCCCCTCGATAACATGAGAGCATTCATTCGTTCAGAACGATCAAAGAAAGTGATAGCCTCGCGAGCGAGAAAATCTCTGAAGGTGTTTCAAGAATCTATCTCAGACCTGTACCCTCATTTGGTTAAACGTCGGATACATTACACCAAGATTGGTGAAGGTGTCACCAAAGCCTTATGCTCATTGCTATGATCAAAATAGCTTCTGTAATTTTCACTTGGGAGTATCTGGACATTCAACAGGGAATTGTTGGTCACTGTTAAAGGAAATAGAGACACTCGTCGACAAGGGAGTCTTGACACAAGAAATGATCAAGAAATGGGGAGCAAATAAGGATAAAAATCCTGGGCCAAGTACATACCCAACAATAGAGGAGTAATGATGCATAAACAACTGGAAGTATTATCTACCACTGTAGTACTTTCTATTTTCAGCATCTTGTTTGAATATGTTTTTTGTTCCTTTCTCCGCCTTTTGTGCAATAAATAAATATGTGTTTCTTTTATGGTTATGAGCAAGGAGACAAATTTTAATCTTGAGATTATTGAGTATCAAGTAGATTAAATATTCTTTTAATTTTTCAAAAGTTATAGATCTATTGGCAAGTAGTAAAATTATATATCCCATCCAATGCCAATTACTCGACCCTTACCAAAACCAAATCTTGACACTACATTTATCTGAGACTCTGAAGAAATGTCTCTACTTGTTTTTGAGACATCAACTCTAGATGTTTACCTTCTCGGATAGAGTTGGTTGGTTTATGATATTATCCATTCCACCATATACATGACTTTAAAAGTCACACATTTTCCTTCCAAACACAAAACCATCATAAACCAAAAGACCTCAAAAGAACCAAACTTTCAATTATTCGTGAATTTTACTGCAAGAAGAGACGAGATGAGGCATCATGGACCAACTCATTGATGATAATTTCGAGTGATTAGGGCATACTCAAAGAAGAAGGGGAAGTGATTGATTGAAATAAATATATCATGCATTAATTACATTTTTTCATGTAAATAAAGTTAATCTTGAATATTCATCCCCCTGTGGATACCTCTTTTTACAAAGGTTTATGTGTATGAGATGATGAACGACATTGTTTCATTTATCCTTTAATATATATATATATATATATCCTTTGTTGTCCCCATTTGAGCCTGAATAATTTTTCTTCTAATTCAACCCTAACCAAAGATCACCCTCTACATTGGGGGGCATGGTAAAGGATATTGGCTCACAAGAATAAAGATTGTCAATACAGTTTTATTACGAAGACAAGTTTCCATGAAGTCATGAAAGTTTTGAACTACAAAGTATGTCAAATATAGAGTGCTTGAAGATCAATCCAATCAAGAATAATGGAAAACCTCCAAAATGCAAAAGGAAAAGGAGGTGCTCAAAGCAATTGAAGTATTATACTCATCCATCAAAAAAAAAGAAAAAAAAAGGAAAATTGAATCAATATGGGTGACTTATTGAGCCTCAAGTTACAAGGTTGATCAAGTACAAACAAGAAGAGCAAGAAATGCTGGAGATATGAGAAAATGGAAATGAATCCAAAATTTGGCAGTCTAGAGGGATCCAGATGATGGAAAAATCCCCAGCAAGGCAGATCCAAGTCAAACAAAACAAGATTGATGGCATCAGAATGAATTGATCCTTGGTTTGATTACCCTTAAACACTTATTTGGGCCTTTTTATCCCTTTCTTTCGTAACCACCATGGCCTACGTTATGTACCTGAAAAGTCCATTTTAATCATACATGGATTTCTAAGTAAAAGAGAATATCTTCAGAATTCATTCCGCCTCTCAAGATTGATTTTTATTTGCAAAAATTGGTTTTTAAAATCTTTAATGCATGATATGAAAAATGATAAAAGGAGGGTTCAAGATATAAATTTTTAAATAACATCTTAGAACCAAAGGAGGATTCGAGTTGAAAACCTGAAAAGGCGGCTCGAATATTGAATGGTGCAACAAACGACATAAGAGATGATCTTAAGCTCTTAAATGAAGCACCACACATCCCAAAGACGTTCCTGAGATTCTGGAATCAAGAAGTATCTCTACAAGATGAGCATAACAACCATTTCTTCAAGTTAATGGAAGCCCAAAGAGACATATATGCTGGACTAACCTGAGAACCTGAGAGACCTTACTTTACCAGAATCAACCTATACCTCAAATCAGTCAATAATTTTGACACTTGCCATAGGACTATGATTTTTGAATGATTTAAAAGTGTAGTTAATTTATTTGATATTTATTAAACTCATTGTTTATGATTTGATTTTATTGTGAACCTATGATAGGCAACATTCTACAAAATTCTTTCATTCTTCAATAAAGAAAGGAGGAAAAACATTTTCAAACAGGACAGTCTCAAATGAGAAGGGTCCTTAAAGCAAGTTGTTGCCTAATCTACCTCTATTGTAAAAAAAAAGACGCCAGAATGATGAAGCACTTCACATTTTTGAAGGCAAGTGGTCCAATAAGCCAGAAAGTATGAAGAATTGAACTTGTGACACTCTCCTATGACATTATTAGCAGCTCATAAAGAAAGATTATCGTTTATCTCATGCTGAGGGCGATAAGCATCACCAAACAGATTATTTTCCCTAACCATCAATTCATGTTCTCTAGAAGATTACATCATAAAACCATGAACAAGTCACTACATGCACTCTGGTGTTAGCTCAAGTCTTGATACATCATTGCTACTTCTTCTATGCCGATCACTTTCTTTGTCAAGATAATATCCATTATGTCATTCAGAAGATTGCTGAATTTGAATTTGAGGACTTATGGCACAGAATAAGACGTTGGAACAAATTCTACATTTGTATGTCGTACAGGATTCCAAAAGTTGAGATAACCAGTTTTACCATCAACTAAACCTTTCCATGGTTAGGGAAGAGTGGGATATGGCAGTGTGTATTTTGGAGCAGCAGAAGAGACAGTCATTGTGGCAGTCATTGTAAGAAAATGCACCAACAAAAATCTTCTATTTCATCCTGATGATGTTTATTTCTTCCAGTAAGGTTGTTACGCTGGATGCCACCGACAACAAGGTCGAATTCGCCAAATATACTCATCAATTGCTCCAATCGATCATCATTCAGTTCTTGCACATTTGTTTTCAAAGGTATACCAAGACAGCAGAAGGCAACCTCTGCATCACTGATTCCAGAGAAAAAAGACAGGACATTGATACCACCGGGGAACTCGTCTCTAGCAGCTCCTCGTGTATGGTTTTTAGGGAAACCTAGAAGCATTTCCACCTCATCAGGTTCAAGTGGAGTAACTTTATTCCTTCCAACCCATACCATATTCCATTTTCAGCACTCATCAAGAACATACTTCTGGACACTCGAAGGTGGCTCATCGTCATAAGCTTCAAGAGCCTTACAGATCCTTTCTGTCAATTTGGCACTTCCTGTACATGTTTGTAAACAGTTCAACTTTGTTCTTGGATCCCAGGAAGGCCATCATTTCTTTGTCAATGGAAAAATATCATGTATAGTGTGTGGAGAAAACATGATAAGAGTAAATCTGTTCTCAATTGGCAGATTATGAATATAGCCCCTTTTCAGTCTAGCAGTATGAAAATGCTTCGAATCTACAAATTCTGGCTCTACATCGAATAAGTACTGTGATATTTCAGTCCAAACCAACTAGAGCAAGTGCCACGTTCTCATAGTAGAAATAAGGAGACCCAATAGCATCTTCTGGAAGTGTTCTTTGAGTTATCTGATCTGGTTTGGTATTAACCCCAAAACCAATCATTAGATTTGAAAGACGAATTTGCTCATAGTAGAAATAAGGAGACCCAATAGCATCTTCTGGAAGTGTTCTTTGAGTTATCTGATCTGGTTTGGTAGGAACCCCAGAACCAATCATTGGAATTAAAAGATGAACTGCATGATCGTCTTTATTAAGAAGCTTCTTTTCAAGCTTCCTCTGCTTCTTCCTTTTCAAAAATCATAGCCCAAGTTTCGCCTTTTCTTGTAATTGGGATCATTGCATAATGACTTCCTATCTTCTACCATAAGAAGTGCGTCAGTAGCCTTAGCCAGTTGATCCGCACATATAAAATCTGTCAATTCTGCAATTGATGAATCTGGACCACATCTCTCCATGGTTATTGAAGTCTCAGCCTCTGAGAATCCCATTTTTGTCAAGTATAACAGTTTATTATCTTCATCAGAATCAGAGTTCAGGATTTCCTCGATATCAGAAGAACTATCAATATCTGTGAAATCATCCTGAAAGATCACTTCATAATCAGATGAGTTGTTATCAGAATCAACATGTTGCATGGGTGTGGATTTTTCAAGAGCTTGTACTGCTGTATATGTAGTCTTGCTATTGCATCAGATTACTGTTTGCATAAATTGGTTTCTCTCCCACAGAAAAGTATATTTCAGAGATGGCCTTCACTGAAAGATGATAAGCCACTGTGTCAGCCTGGAACGGATTACCAAGCTATTTTTACTACTCTGTCTGATTAAATCCCTCCAGATACAGAAAATGGTCACCTCATTCAGAAGACACATATCTCAGACGTTTTTGTCAGAATGATTGAGTACTTCTTAAATTTGTGACAACATGAAGAGAATTCCTCCAGTTACCTGACAACACTGCTGTTTAGTGACACCAGAATGAGAGTATTCAAGATAAACAGATTTGGAGCATGAATAAAGCCACAAGTACCTACAACAGTTCATTGTCAAAATTGGACCTTGTGGGGATCATGACATTTCAGTCAAACAGACATTGAGAGTGAATCAGACAGATCTAGAGGGACATCTTGAGGGCCCATTTCAACCAGAAATAGAATATTGGGGCATTTTGAAGGCTCACAACAAAATGAATATTTGGGTATTCTTGGAGGCTCATCTGAACAAGAAGTAACGTTGAGCACACTTTTAACATCTGTATCAGTAAAATGTTGGGGAATTTTAAAGGTTCCTTCAGACAGATCCATGTGGGGCATTTTGAAGGCTCAGATTAACAAGAAGCAAATATCGAGGCATGCTGAAAGGCCATTTCAATCAGAATTAGGACTGTTGATGCATTTTTGAACATTCGTATCAGCAATGCTGGGACATGCTGAAGGCCCACAACATCCTGTGTCAAGATCATTGATTTGAACAAATATTTTCAATGAGACAGAAAGATATGAAGAATGAAAATGATAAAACAGTGGCAGTCGAGCTGACTATACATAATTGCTTCGTTCATCAGGCAGTTACATTATGATCATATTGTTGAACAAATATATACTCAGCAAGTATGGTTTCTAATACCCAATCTTCTTAACCATGTGTCACATGATAGCGTGTTCCTTGTTAAGCTACATCACAATCGAATGAATAAAGATGGTCCCCCAGGCAGACTACTCGATCCAGAGTTCAGTTCCTGAAGATCTCAGCTTTGAATTTTGCATTATCTGTGTCGGTGATAATTGAAAATATTTCTTTGAGATTCCTGTCAGTTAGTTTCAACCATACTGTTGAGGTCGAAGCTGTTTTTCACATCAGTTTTGTTTACTTGATGACATTGAAGAGAGAAGCTCATGTATATTGCTCTTTCCCGATGTTACTGGGGTTATCATTGCCAGCTAGACTGAACCGAGTTTTCATCTATTTGGTTTATCATGTGCGTTTTATCCCCATCTGTAAGAATTCCACGGATATCTTTCTGTACATTGATCCTATAGCTGAAGTGTTTCTACTTCCTACAATGCTCATTATGAAAAAAAGCATGATCAGTATCACATTTTCCTTTTCCAGAGATGATATCAAGATTTGTTGGTATCTCCTATTCAATTCGATACCAGCATATTTTGTGAATTTGACCAACTTTTTGGTCATACCAACATTACACTTGAATCCCCACTGAGTTTTGTTCTCAAATGGTCTTGTGACATCATTCAAAATCTTTGAACACTAGGTAAAGAGCTTCAATGATTGAGAAATCTTGGCAGAAGTCACAAAAAAGGATGAATGGGTTGTAAAACGCTTTACGAATGTCAGAACTAAAACCACATGAGATGAAGAATGTGTTGTCAAATGTTTTACGAACCAGTTATTCTGATGTTGAACCAATGTTGTGATCATATGTTTTCCATTTTTGATCCAAGATAAAGTTTGTCTTCTTCAACTTCAAGATTATAAGATGATATATGATGAAGATTTCTTTCTACAGAAGGAGAACTAAAATTTTAACCACAAGAAACTAGTTGAACGACAGGTTGTGGTTAAGCATCTCGACATGATATGGTCCAAGTTTCTGTATTTGAGATTGAATTAAATGTGGAGACATGAAAGGAATTGGAATAAATCCTCCTTGTGATATGTTTCAAGAGTCAAATCAGAACAGACTCTACTCTCCTAATTAATCCCTGCTGAGTCAGGCATATCTACATCTATACTCTTCAAAGATGATAGATTCCCTTTTTAAAGATGACAGATTCTCTTTTCAAAGATGAAAGCTTTATCGGATTTCTGCACAACTCCAAGCAAAGAAAGTTGGTTTTATCCAAGACAAAATGGGGCATCAAGGTCATAGTTCTGATTACGACAAGAGTTCTACAAATGAAACAATTCTTCTAAGACTTTCATGAAGCAAAGAAGACCTAAAGATACAAGTTGATCAGATGGTTCTTCATAAATGCAAGCTTGAGAGCATAAGTTGCTCCACTGATATCCAGAGGTGACCCTGAAAATAAATGATGAAGTGGAGGAAAACCAAGTTCACCATTTTGAAGTCAAATGAAGATTGCATCAACATTCATGCATCATATTTAGGCATTTGCAAAAACAGGTGCATTTTCATTCATTTTATCCATGTTGAATTTTGACAGGAATTTCAAAGATTTTAGCAAAGATTTAAATCCATCATTCAATGGATCAACAGTGCCAAATAGAGTTCATAATAAGAAGAACTCATCTAAAGAAGGAAGAAGAAGTTGATAATAAGAAGAACTTGTTCAACTTTTCGCTTGAATTCATCATTCGATAGATCAGCATTACCAGGTCGAGTTCATAATGAGAATAACTCATCTGAAGAAGGAAGAAGAAGAAGTTCATAATGAGAAGAACTTGTTCAACTTTTCACTTGAATTCATCATTCGATTGATTAGCAGTGCCAGGTAGAGTTCATAATGAGAAGAACTCATCTGAAGAAAGAAGAAGAAGTTCATAATGAGAAGAACTTGTTCAACTTTTCACTTGAATTCATCATTCGATCGATCAACATTACCAGGTCGAGTTCATAATGAGAAGAACTCATCTGAAGAAAGAAGAAGAAGTTCATAATGAGAAGAACTTGTTCAACTTTTCGTTTGAATTCATCACTAGATGGATCAACATTTCCAGAAGGTGTTCGTAATGAGAAGAACTCATCTGAAGAAAGAAGAAGAAATTCATAATGAGAAGAACTTGTTCAACTTTTCGTTTGAATTCATCACTAGATGGATCAACTTTTCCAGAGAGAGTTTATAATGAGAAGAACTCATCTGAAGAAGGAAGAAGAAGTTCATAATAAGAAGAACTTGTTCAACTTTTCGCTTGAATTCATCATTCGATTGATCAGCAGTGCCAGTTAGAGTTCAT